AATGCCTCCAGGGGCGTGTGTGTGTAATAACTAACTGCCTGGTACAGCTGGGATGTCTGGCCCCTGCAAATCTCATGTGGAAATATGATCCTTAGTGGTGAACATGGGGCCTGGTGGAAGGTGTTTGGGTCACGGGGCAGATCCCTCATGAATGGCTTGGTGCCCTCTCTGCGGTAGTGACTAAGTTCTCGTTTTATTATGAATAGTTCATGCGAGAGCTGGTTGTTAAAAGGAGCCTGGGGCCGGGCGCAGTGGCTCAGGCCTGTAATCCTAGCACTCTGGGAGGCCGAGGTGGGCGAATCGTTTGAGCTCAGGAGTTCGAGACCAGCCTGAGCAAGCATGAGACCCCATCTCTACTACAAAATAGAAAGAAATTACTTGGACAGCTAAAAATATATAGAAAAAATTAGCCAGGCATGGTGGCACGTGCCTGTAGTTCCAGCTACTCGGGAGGCTGAGGCAGAGGGATCGCTTGAGCCCAGGAGTTTGAGGTTGCTGTGAGCTAGGCTGACGCCACGGCACTCTAGCCCAGGTGACAGAGTGAGACTCTGTCTCAAATAAATAATGAAAAGAGCCTGGCACCACCTCCTCCCTCTCTTGCTCCTCCTCTCACCGTAGGACACACCTGCTCCCCCTTCGCTTCACCTTGATTGGAAGCTCCCTGGAGCCCTCACTAGAAGCAGATGCTGGCGCCATGCTTTTTGTACAGCCTGAAGAACCATGAGCCACATAAACCTCTTTTATTTATAAATTACCCAGCCTCAGGTATTTCTTCATAACAATGCAAGACATCTAACACACTACCATTTCTAGAACAGCTATCATTTATCGGGTTCCTACCATGTGCCATCACTGTACCATGGGTCATGTATCACCAATAACCATGGCTTAGGAAATCTAGTTATGTACTTTGGGTTTTCCATTGCAATGCATTTTGTAGTCTATGCTTAACTGTGGACTATCTGGAGCCACAGTGGTTTAATATAGCCCTTCTGCAGACATCTGCAAAACCCAGCAACAGGCTGTGTGTGATGCAGAGCTGTGGCTCTCAGAAGGCATCCTCTGTGTGTGCTCTTCCTCCTCGTGCTACTTCCCACGTCCCATCACTCTTGCTTCCCTGAGATTGGGCTCCTCAGTAAGCTTTTGTCTCCAGCTCTGCTTTCGAGGAAACTTGGGCTAAGGCAGATGTTTTAAGAGTTTTGGTTTTTTTTTTTTTGCTAAAACATTGAAATAGATACACATAGGAAAAAAGAGCTAGCTGTATAGATGCAAAATGTTAACCGGATTGTTTCTCTTCATACTTTATTCTATTTTCTATTTTTAAAATTTTTAATCAGTAAGATGTTTATTTTAATCAACTACTTGAACATACACATTTATTTCTTCCTTCTAAAATTAACAGACATGACGTGTAGTCATAAGCTGAAAAGTAGTAGTGAGAATAAAAAGAATTGTTTTAATAGCTATTCCATTAGTGTGAATTCAGGAGTAGCTTGAGATGTTTTCATAACCTGCTATTTTACACTCTCATCATTTCAGTTTTATAAACTTAGGATTAAGGAAATAATGTTGATTTTCATATGTCAAAACAATCAATTGGAATATACAGACATGCATTAAACACATTGGGCATATTAATACATTTCAGTTATTCTATAGGTTCCTTAGGTTTTAAAGATAATCATGTTACTTACTTATGATGCCCTGGAATTGCAAAAACTTGTCCAACGATGCTTCTTTCTGAGACTTACTCAAGCTGAAATCCAGTCAGAGAGCCCTGAAAAATATCTTGGCAAAAGTCAAATGTGTGGTCTATATAATATAGAGAATCCTAAAGCCAAAAGCATCCCCTGTTACTGTTTATTCCCCAAGGACCAATATTAAAGTTACCAAAATCAAAGCTGTCTTGGATTTCTCATGCTTTCACCAGAAAAGAAGTTAAATGTGATGTTGTCTTCCTCATCAGTGACCTCATCTGTGGCAAGAATCAGACTGGGAGAGTGGGAAGGGGCTTTGGGCCATCCTCCCCTCCAAACAGCCCATTTCTCAGATGAAGAAACTGAGATCCAGAGACAACAAATGTCTTCTCAGTGAACTACCTGCCAACCAGATGACCATGATTCACTAAGTGGGCAGTACTTACATTTCAAAAAATTAGAAGAAACCAAGTCAGCTAGTCACAGTGCATCAATTCGATATATGAAAACCTCGTTGGAGAAGACCTGAACTGTTTTTGGAGGCATTAAATCCATTACTCCAAAGTTTTCTGGAATGGTCTTTCAACTTTCACTCTTCCTAGTTGTGTTGAGGCAGAGTAAGTAGGGTCAATGCCTGTGTAGTTCTTTCCGTGTGCGAGATGTACGGTCACTTCCTTACTTGCGTTCCCCACAGCCCAGCTGCCTAGCGCCTGAAGACAAGGAATCGGTCCCAGCCACGGTTACTAGCTGCAGAGCCGGACTAACTGGTATTGAATCCTGGTTCTGCCATTGACTAGTTATTTGATCTTGGGCAAGTGACTTCATTTTGCATACCTAACTTGACCTTTCCTTATCTGTAAAATGAAGATAATTTTAATACCCATCTGCATGTAAAGTGCCTAGTGCAGTGACTTTCACACGGTAAACATCTGATGAATGTTCGCTAGCGATGGTAAGTGCTCAAAAGGTATGTATTGGAAAAAAACATACTGAGGGGGAAGAAAGATGATCACCACAGAAAAGAAAGCTGGGAATTTTTTCTTAAACCATCCCAGCTTTTGCTATTCCCCATATTTCAGGTACTCTAGCATAATTTCTCATGCTCATGGAAGCAAAGAGTAAGCATAACTAACTTTAAAAAAAAAAAAAAGTCAAGATCTCCCTCTGTTGGCCAGGCTGGAGTGCAGTGGCCTGATCATAGCTCACTGCAACCTCAAACTCCTGGGCTCACGTGATCCTCCTACCTCAGCCTTCCAAGCAGCTGGGACTATAGGCATGTGCCACCAAGCCTAGCTAATTTTATGTATTTTTTTAAATGTAGAGGTGGGGTTGCACTATGTTGTCTAGGCTGGTCTTGAACTCTTGGCCTCAATTGATCCTCCTGCCTTGGCCTCCCAAAGTGCTAGGATTATAGGTGTGTGCCACCTCATCTGACCTAACTTTTTTTTTTTTTTTTAACAGCAGAACCATATTGTCATATGAAATGTACATATATAAGGCATGGGCTGCTCCCAAAACTTAGGGTACAAACTGAGCCACATTACTTTTTTCTTTTTTTCTCCAATTAATAGCTAGAATACTCAAGTGCTCCATACAAAGAATGTTCAAAGTCTCCACCTTTGTCCAGGCATCCCTGGGCTTACTCAGTGGAAAGGGGTCTCTTTCTAACGCCACGTGGAGAGGGAAGTGGCCTCCTGTTGTTTTATACCTCCTGCTCTTCCTCCTGGGATGGGCACGCAGGTTTCCCTGGCGGGACCAGCTGGAGCTCCTGCGTGGTGATGACAGCCCCGTGCTGTCAGGTCACAGGAGCAGCACGGCTCTCCAGGATACACAGCTGTCGTGCTCGGGGCTGTGCCCCAGCAAGACCACTGCCAGCAAAAGCCACACACTTCTGGGCTACACCAGCCCTCGCGTGGACCACGGGGCCTTTTCTCAGGACCTAGGTCCCCACCTTGACATTCCTTCTCCCCTTCATCTGCCTATTTTAAGGATTTTTTCCCCAATGCAAACGTGCCTGCCTGCAACTATATTAGTCTGCCAGGCCTGCCATAAAGAAACTGGGTGGCTTAAACAACAGAAACGCATTTTTCTCACAACCGTGAAGGCTAGAAGTCGAGACCGAGGTGCTAGTTTCTTCTGCGGCCTCTCCCCGTGGCTCGCAGACGGCTGTCTTCTCCCCGTCTTTGCTTGGCCCCGTCTCCAGGCACAGTCACGTTCTGAGTCCTGGGGGTGAGACTTCAATATACGAAATTTGGTGGAGGGGAGACAAAGTTCAGCCCACAGCACCAGCGATTAAGTCTGCACACTTAAGGTATAAGTAAACTTTTTTAATTCAAGGAAAAGAGGTTGTGGGGAGAGGAATGATGTGTACTCAGTGAGGCCCCGTTACACTATCTTTCCAGGACAGGGGTGCCCCGTGCTTACCTCACGAAGGCGGCTGCTTGAGTTGCTGTTCAGACACTTCCAGTGCCCCCTACTAAACTCAGATGCCCACCGTAAGACACATGAGCCCAGAACTTCCCCGGTTGAAATGGAGCCAGAGGTCCAGACCCCCCTCCCACGGCCTCCTCGCTAAATCGCCTCGGACAAGCACAGTATAAAATCCTCTGGCCTGCGGGAGCCCAGTGTGCAGGCTACTTCTGTTATTTTTTCACAGATACACAGTTCACTAAAGTTTGCTGCAGGCACGTATGATATCGTCTGATGATCTTTGGCTTTGGAAACATAACTCCGACACTAGTATCTAGCCCGGGTTACTCTAAAGTTATCCGGCTGAGTTCCGGCGATCATGCAGACAAACCGGTGTTTGTGTGGCCGGCTTTATTTTTCCACTTTACTTCTTTTTAGAGATGGGCTTGTTAATCACCCTGCTCAACTGCGATACCCAAGAAAAGCTGAGAGAGTAAAGTTATATGCAGCCTCCCTGTGACCTGTTTGCACATACCAGGTCAATAAAACTCAGGCAGAATGACAGTGACAGCTGCCTTGTGGCATTCAGAGGGAACCGAGCAGTTCTGTTCAGCAGCCTCAGGGACAAGTGTATCATTACAGCCCGGCTGCTCAGAGAGAAACCACCTAAACCCATTCTTGGGGACAAGCGCAGCTTCTGCAGCCACCCAGGAGCCCGTCTCGGACACCTGCAAGGCCCGGCCGAGACTCTCCCGCTAGCTTTCTCCACGCCAGGATCTCCCAGCCACAACTCTGTTCTCATCTCTACACGCGCGCCCCGCCTGCGACAGCCTGGGCAGGACAAAATCCCAGCCCCGGAGGTGGCGGAGGAGAGTGCGCGGGAGGGGAGGCTCTATGGGGGCCAGGCAGTCACGGGCCAGCTCCAAGGACAGGGGCTCCAGGAGGATGCTGCTCCTGGGGAGGAGACAGAAGTTTTCTCCGTGGGACGACACCCTGCTCTTGGGAAGGGACCCACGGTCTCTGCTGCAGCGGGGCATGCGCCACATCAGCTTCAGCCTGGTCACCAAAGGAATGACAGACATCCCCGACTTTCTGTGGGGCTTGTCTGAGGTCCAGAAACTCAATCTGTCTCACAATCGACTCCGGCTCCTCCCTCCCGAGGTGGGGAAACTGACCCGGATCGTGGTCCTCAACTTGTGCGGGAACCGCCTGAAGAGCCTGCCCCGGGAAGTCAGCCTCCTGCAGAGCCTCAAGGTCCTGTTCGTCAACATGAACTGCCTGACCGAGGTGCCCGCCGAGCTGAGCTTGTGCAGAAGCCTGGAAGTCCTGAGCTTGTCGCACAACTGCCTGTCCCAGCTGCCCGCCAGCTTCGCCGACCTTTCCAGGCTGAGGAAGCTGAATCTCAGCAACAACCATTTTGCGCACATCCCCGTCTGTGTGTTCTCGCTGAAGGAGCTGGATTTCTTGCACGTGGGCTCCAATCGCCTGGAAAACATCGCCGAGAGCATCCAGTGCCTGGCCGGCCTGCAGATCTTCATCGCGGAGGGCAACAACATCCACTCCTTCCCGAGGTCGCTCTGCCTCGTCACGAGCCTGGAGCTGCTGAACTTAAACAACAATGACATCCAGACCCTCCCGGACGAGCTCTACCTGCTGCGCCGACTGGCCAAGATCGCTTGGAACCCCATGGACAAAGGGCTGCACATCTCCCACAACCCTCTGGCCAAGCCCCTGCCGGAGCTGGTGGAGGGGGGCCTAGAGATGCTCTTCGGCTACCTCAAGGACAAAAAACACAACTGACGTGGGCAGCGGGGGCATGGACGGGAGCCAGCTCACCTGGACTCTGTCAACCGGGGTACTTCTCTCGCCTAAACTTTCTACTCTTGCCGTTAGTGTCTGTCAGTGCTCTTGTTAACATTTGCTAAATCGTTGTGGAACATTCATCCTAGGCAGGTGTTTGCCTTTACTTTGTATGCTCTTAATAACCTCCGGGATAATATCACATGTTCATCTCATTCTATACATAAATCCAAACAGGTCTTTGGTTTTCTCCAAAGAGAACTAATTGCTCTGATTCTTCTGAGAAGTAGTGAGACCCAGCTCTTGGAGTAGGGCACAGCAGGTCTGAATTCAATGTAATGCAAAAGTCTAATATTTGCTAAGTATGTACTGTGTGCCAAGTGTGGTGTGAGGCGTTGACACCACCTGGTTTCAGATGGTTTCTGCCTTGTATTGGCAACCGGTGGCCAGGTGGCAGCAGCAAGACGTGTTCCTCAATCAAGCATTACTTGGGACCAAAAAGCAAGCCAGAGCTGCGCTCTGTCGTCAGCGACCAAAACAGGCAGTGCTTTCCCCTGGAGTTCTGGGGGAACGATCATAGGAATTTTCCCTTTCAAATGGCTGTACAGTAATACACTGCTCATGTTTACGTCTGGGGGTGAGTAACAGAGGTAGCATGATGGCTTTCAGATAATAAACTGCAACCAATATTAATGTGTAGTTTCAACCTTCCTTCCGGGTCCTCTTCCACCCACAGTCATATCCCTGAACCTCTTTGCTAGACACTAGCCAATAGGGAAACTGTCACATTCTAATGCCACTTCTTCTCTTTGACTATATCTGCCCTCTCATAGATAAGCTACTAACTGGGATAATTTGGGCAAAAGTGTCCCAGAGGCAGGGAAGAGGAGGTGAGGCACAGTCAAGCCACACCAAAAGTAATTACTTACTCTTTCAAAATTCAGAGGAGGGCATTAAAAAATTAGTTTAGTTACACTTAAAAGCTCCTTGGACAAAAGGCTCCTTAAAAATATTAAGTTTGTTTTGTTTTTTATTTTGAGTACGTAGCCGTTAGCTAAACACAGACACCAGGACAGGGGATGACAGCGTTCCTGCACCGAAGATCACTGGACCTTACAGCTAGGCTAGCAGCCAAGAGCCCCAGTACATTAATATTTATTCAAAGAATTAGAATGAAAAGATGACAGTGAAGAAAATTCAGTACCTTCAGGTCAGGGAAGCCGATTGCTCCGGTTTCTTGGTACATTTGTCTACAGAATGATAGTAAACAATATCAAGACTTGTATAACTTCTTCTTAGTACTCTTAGTTCGATTCCACTAAACTTGTATTTCTTAGCACCTTCTCCAGTCTGGGCACTGGGCTGGGAACCTAGGAGGAGCAACACCCTGCTCCGTCCCCCAAGGAGCTCGCAGCTTAGTGAAGGGGACAGACCCACGTGGTTTCTACGGTGTGCGGCAAGCTGTGATTCCTGCTACAGCGACATCTAAGCAAAGGGCTGAGGCGGGAAAAACACGCTGCATGGCGTGGGCTTGACTGAGCCCCAGAGTCTCGGTAACCAAAGAACAGTGAGCAAAGAATGCAGTTGGGATGGACCTGTCAAACCCTTCATTCATTGCAGCAATCGAACCCTAACTCCCCACCGCTCTTTCCCGCACCTCTCTTGGAAAGAGTGGCTGAGGCAGTGAGCAGCTCATTCTCAAGTTCAGAGCTTAGGCAATTTCACTGCGGAAACTTACTTTCTTAAGAGCTGCTCAAAAGGGGTCCATATAACTCATTCATAGGAGCAAGTGGTTTTTCCCAACAGACCCCAAAGTCAATTTTCCCATCGTAAAAGAATGAAGCCAATTCCTGCTGTTATCATCAGATACCACAATTCCATTAGCACATTGTGCGTGAGCTCCTCTGTCGAACCCTTGCTCGCAGACCGTACCGTGTCATTTGCAGGCAACTAAAGCAGTCTCCTCCTAACTCCCCCTCCGGCAGCAACTGGAGGCCTGCGTATCCTTGCCAGGCACACACAGGCACACTCCCAAATCCTCCCCCACGTTAGCCTGTTGGAGCCAAGACTATTTAAAGACACGGGTGGAATTCTTACTTGACCTCCTGCATCAGTGGGAAATTGTAGGCGAGCCTTCCTCTGCAGAACTGGGCAGGTCACTGACTGCAGCTTTGGCCGCAGCGCACACAGCTGTCAGACAAACACCGGCAAGTGCCAGGATCATGCCTGCTAGTGTCTGCTGCTGAAGAACCGCTCGGGCTCACGCTGAATTTCCATGACCTTGCGATGGGTGGAGGCGCAGGCGGGGACGGCAGCGCCACACTCGTCCTGCTGAGCAATCATTTTATTTCCTCTCCTCGCCTTTTCAGTCACTTGATCCTACAGTAACTCTACTCCAGGGAAAGAATGTAACCATATTTTGAAGGTGACCCAAGAGCTCATTATACTTTTTATAAGGAAAAAAATGGTATCAATTTGGTTGTCAGCTTCCACTGGTGCCTTTCAGAAGTATCATAGCGAGGTTTTCTTCGTTACCACTCAGCACTGAGGAAATCATAAAAGTGTAGCAGTTGCCCAATGTGCTTTAGATATTGATTCTTTGTGAATGCTCCTTTTTATTGATAAAGCGAACTGCTGAGCAAAAAACTGGCTAACGTGCTTAGTTATTCAAAACATTGACGTGGAGGGAATTTGATGTAACCTTCAACGTCTTTGCTGTCAAATTCCATAGTTTACTGACTAGCTGTGAAATGCTTCTCCCTTATCTTTTATATTTTGAATACTGCCACATTTCAAGTAACTCCCAGGTATTTCTAAAGCTTCTGAAATCAAAGCACTGAGGATGACTGAATCAGCTGCCGAGTATATTTCTCCAAAGAATAACAGCTAATTGGGTGCTTGATGTGGGGAGCCGGCTGCTCCCGGTCTTGATGATGTCGTGGTTTTCATGTCACTCGGCTCTCAGGATAGAGGGATCTCAGCGTGTGTTCAGAAGCACCTTGTGAAGCAGTTGCAGCTCACAAGCATACAATTAAGAAGAAATCCTATGTTCATAGGAAGGGAGAAGACTGAAAAGACACATCTGCTCAAGGAATAATACTGCTAAATGCATCATACTGCAGGCATATTAGAAAAAAATGTAGTCATTACTTAGCTTGTTGACTTAATAAATGGTTAATGGAAGAAATGTACTCCATTCTTGGGCTTTAGTTAATAGACTGCCTTTCTCTAGTAACTGCCTTTCTCTAGTAACCAAAGACAGAGTGACTTCGGGCCTGCACCTGGATTTCACAATGAAGTCGCGCCGGTGCTGGAAAGAGATAAAAGAGGGAACACTGTCATTATCCGTGGGGATGCAGTCAATGAAACCTTTTCCTTTTGGTAATGAATATTGCATTTTGAATGTGTATTTCATGTACCTCAAAGCATATACTGAATATGAATTTTGATAGCCATGCATTAAAAACAGAAGAAGATTAGAGGACCATGGGCCAAGTCACTGGAAAACACATTCAGGTGCCAACAGCCTGAGATTATGGGCGACAGGGAGGCCCAGAGGCTGGACTGGGTGCTTTTCTCAGTACTATGCATACGTTAGGGGAAGTCCCCTGTCTGGATGGAGAGTCTGGTGAAAATAGGTGAAAATGGTGAAAATAGAAGACAAGTTCAGGAAATGGTCTTAAAAAGAGAAAGAAAAAAAAAAAAAACAAGCTGCTAAATTAATCCAATATGAAAATACTAAACACTGAATAATGCCATCAGTATCTATTCTCTAGGCTTCCCGGTGTTCTCTGTCCTCTTATTCCACAAAAGAATTATTTTCAGCACTCTGCAAGATATACTTGAGAAACACAAAGATACTCAACCTAGAGTTAATGAACAACTAAGTGCTAGTACCCCTGATGTAATTTCTTAGTTATGATTCATCCAAGAACACCAAAATACACCCCCTTCATATATTTTAAGAAAATGAAATAAAATTCAGAGGAACATGAAAGCTATTATAAACAATAATGGGAACAATCTTGACCTTGTCAAGAAAAGAACTTTGTACCAGTGTTTCTTTTAAGTTACCTGGCAATTTATATGTTGAATCCAAAACAGTACTGATTTTTTTTTTAAAGGACAGCATAGTAATTAAAAGGGCAGGCAGAGGGTCTCATGATGAATTTGTAAGGGCCTGGGCGTCATTAGGCAAACATGACCGAGAGCTATTAGCATCAAGCTTGCTGTGCAGATTTTTTAGTAGTGCCATAGGAATCTACTCGCAAGGAGAGAGCTCATTTCCTCTTGCTTCTAGGCTCACTCCTCATTTTTGCAAAGGATAGAAAACAAAAGCCTAACTGGCGTCATATCAAAGTATTTCCAAAACTCTTGGGAGAAACATCCATTACGAAAAGTACGAGACTTTGAAGCTATGCACTGGAGCAGCTGATGGAACACTGCTTAATCGCCTGTACTTTTTGGCCTTGAGTGACTTGGGTTCCTCAGAAGCCAGTGTGCCTGGACATGGCATTTCAGGGAAGTCTCTGTTCTCTTCTGGTCTCCTCAAGGTCATGCCAAGCACCCCATGCACGAACGTGAGGACAGGCTCTGAGGAGCGTGTCGAGAGTGCACACAAGTGTCCTGAGACTTTGCACGTGCTGGGGGCATGGCCATAGGACAAGCTCTGCCCCCACCCCCAAGGGCAAAGGAGTGAGGCTCAGCCAAACACAATGCAATACTGTGAGGACAACTGTCTTAAGAGGAGTGTAGGTGGGCGCAAAGGCATCTGGGTGAGATTATGGGATGGCAGAGATACTGTGTTGCTGACAGGGGCAGGTGCAATCTCGTGTGAGGGTTACAGACCCAGCAGTTCCTTTGTTTTAATATGTCTTGATGGAGAATTTGTGAGTCCTGCTGTGTCAGAGCAGCCTGTTTTATACTAATCACACCTTTGAGGAATTTGTCTTTTTTTTTCTCTCTACCAGAATCTTAGATATTGGGCAGGCACGTGGCAGGAGAGATGATGCACAGGGACACCGGGTGTCCTGGGTTC